GGTGCTTAGTTGCTGGCTGGGGCTAAACCACGACAACCAATTAAAAAAAAAATTGTTGGATAATGGATACAAATTTGTACGTTTTCAGTCTTGGATGAAGCCTGAATTAGAGGACTAGGAAACATATAACCTGACAATGTTCTTACTAAAGTAGTAAATTATTCCATAAGTCCATGCTACAGGGTTTAATTTGCTTTGTTTTCAGTCTATTTGCTACTAAGAACAGAGTGTTGGCTGTACCAGAGACAGGGTAAGAGATTGCTACAGTGATCTCACTGTGGTTTCTGTGTCCCCAGGATAACTTTCTGACCTGCATGAAAAAGCTCTTCTACTCCTGTGTCCAGAATACAAGAGGAGGAAAGAATTTAATTAATTAGGAACAATAAGAGAGCTTTCATTAAAAGTCATGAGCAAAAGCCATCCCCAGCCCCAGGAGACAGAGCTTTGACGTGCTCTGGAGCAGACTCCTGTGAGTCAGCTGGCAGGAGAAAGCCATGCACACTGTGCAGCCGCATCCTGTGCCTGGGGTGCTGCCTTGTGTCCTGCTGCAAACCAGCAGAACCTGACCTCCATCCCATGCTACAAATTGAAATCTCCTCTACCCACAGCCTGTGGAAAGCACACTCCCTCTCTCTGTGTGCGCAAGAGACCTTTTGCAGCTTTCTTCACGTATTACTTTTGTTCAGTGCAGCCTTACTAAACACTCGCAGGTTCGGGCCTAAGGCATTTTAAATTTCCTGCACAAAGCACATATTTTACATCAACAAAATCTTCACTTTCAGTTTTGAAATGCTGATGGGGCTAACATACTGATCATTTGCCTGCCGGGTTATTTTCTTACTTACCATATGCTGGCTGTGAAGTTTTTCCAGAAGGGTGTTGTCTGTGCCTTTGGGGAATCGACTCTCTTCATTCACCAAAGCCAGTAGACCCAGTTTCTACAGCCAAACAAGAGACAGGCTTTTACAGTCAGCAACAGCTCTAACTACACAGCACCAAGCCAAGAACTGGAGATCTGAACAGCACATGGAGCAATAATCCCTGAGTTATACCTAGCAAAGCACGAGCTGAAAGCAGAATTCTGGCCAGTCAATGCATTCAGCAAGCAGAATGTTAAGTGGAGATTATTTATAAAAAAGTCACATTAAGGTTTTACTTAAATGCTGCTCCCTGTCTAAAACTATGACATCTTCCCTAAGCTTGCTTTCAACAAAGAGCAGAGATCTGCTTTCTTGAGCCAGGACTATGGCTAGAACAGCTCATACTTTTGCCAGGTGACAATGGGAAGAAGATCTAAGCAGCTACCTGTTTTTAAAACCAGGAAACCCCAGGGAATGTCTCAAGACAACCAGTAGTCCCCACTGTGATCCCTGGAGAGTGTCACAGATAACTGCTCACCTTCTCGATAAGGTCCAGGCACTCTGCATTATCCATCCAGTCAATGGCTTCCCAGTTTATCCCTTCCCTGACAGTCAAGAACAAACAGAACAAAGATGTGAAATGCAAGATCCAATGCCCTGAGGTGCAGGAGAACAGAAGCAGCTGAGCATGACAGCTGTCCCAGGACTCAAGATGATTTGCAGGAATTAGGCTTTGCCATGCCTGAGGAAAAATAATAGGATACGCAATGTACTGCTAACACAAAGAGATGGAAGTAGAAGACAGCCTTTCTAATCCATCCCAGTGATTTAGACTAATGCTCATCTTGTAGTCATTGAGCAAATTCTACATCAAGCACTAAGAAATTGTAGTTGCTCTCAGTTGCTCTTTCAGGAGTGATGAGCATCAGCCCTAGTGGTGGTGATGGTGGACAGTTTGCTGCACAGCTTCAACTGCTGACCCAGCAATCTGTAAAGCAGGCCTGAAGCACATCTCCCAGAAGACTGAACCACAATTCATAGGTCCACCAGAAGAAGAGACAGAAGCAACTTTTCAGGGAGAGTTTTGAAGAGGATGACACAGATAAGCTTTGGCCTGACATGCAGAGGACCTACAGGGTGGCCCTGCATCTTTCAGAATGGGAGGTGATGTAGGCACAGCAGTGCGGTAAGTGTGCTTTGAAAATCATCCATGAAATTCTGTAAATCTGTGCTGAATGTTTTTCCTCCCCCTCTTACCACCTTCTTGTACTCCTATAACACAGGCTGTTTCTGTTTTCAGAATTCAGAGAAGCCTGCTCAGGAATCCAAGGAAGACTACAGGCTACGTGTGAAGCTACTTACTGACATTCTGATACAGACACCTTTCAGGTGAAGGCTAACATTTTGAAGATAACAAAGCTGTTGTCTACAAACCCTTCGGCCTACCCTTCATACTTTCAGGTTCAAAGCATTCAGAAACCTCTGTGCAACAGTTGGAAGCAACGAACTGGAATAATTTTTGAAGAATGGAAAGAACTACCTATCCCCTACAGGAAACAGAGTATCTTATCCACTTAATGACAAAAAATACCATTTCACAGTGTTTCAGATTTTTGCAACAATGGGTGTCTGAGAGGCCATATATTTTTACAAAAAGACCTCTTGGATTCCTTCTGAGAGCAAGAAGACCTTCCAGAATTGATCAGTTTTCTGAAACAAATCAAATCAAATCACAAATGAATCAAGTTGTCTCTAGTGCCACAGACCCCTTGTCTAACCGAATGACAAAATACATGGAGCTACTTACTAAACCTGAGGAAGCAGAGCTGATACTGTGAAAGATGAGCTTTAATCACATCACCCTAGAATAACTTGATGAGTAGTCAATAATAAAATTCTCTTGTTCTTTCCAAAGTTCAGCCACAGAACTTAAACTCCTATGTAATCATCAGGAAAAAAAATCTTTTGTCACATGATACCATTCTTAACACAAGCTTCCTGCAATGGTGGAACTGGCCTGAGAAATGAGTGCATAAATAGCCTTGCAGTTTTGTAATCTTTAGAATTTCATGAATTGCCTATTCAACTGTCTCCCTTTACAAGGCTGCTCTCATTTGCCCTCACTGACCCTATTCAATTGCTTCATTCACAAACATAAAGGCTTCTGTTTCGGAGCAAGAACTGAAGCAGAAATACTCTAGAACATCCCAGGTACTTCACAAAATACAATCCAATATGAAGCCCACAGAAGAGAAACAGCTGTGCAGAACACCCCATGCTCTTTAAGCTCAGGAAACAGATTGATTTAAATCTCCTGGCTGAGGAAAAGAGCACTTTTCACAGCATAGGAATCTCTAGGACAGAAAGAGCTGTTGGATATTTATCCATCTGTCTTTAGGGGCTTTACTTTTTGCAGACCAAGATTCCACCTGCATAACATCACCGCTACCTTAGGTAAGTCATTACTGAAGTCAGTAATAAGGCCAGTGACCGTGTGTTCTAATGGGTTAAAGCCCAAGATCTTCCCATTCAGCTGAGAGAAAGGAAACTTTTGTTTGGAGACAAGTGACACCTATGCTGGCAAAGCACATGGACAGTGCTTACAGAGACACATCCACAGTCAGAGTTGCACTAAGGCCCAGCTGCCTCTCCTGCCTTCGCAATAGGGACTGGAGAGCACAAAGGAGGAATGATGTCCTCCATTCTACCACCCAAAGCAATAGGGGGACACTCCCTCCATTTGTCACCTGTTGTACTCCAGCTGCTCCAAGGAGAAGATGTGTTTGTTGAAATATTCCTGAAGTTTCTCATTTGCATAGTTAATGTTAAACTGCTCAAAACGATTCACCTGTGAGAAGAAACAAAGATTAGAAAACTTAACATTCTTGTCCCTGGGCTCTAAAAGAATCTATAACAGTGATGGGGAAGGTGCCAGGCCTGGAATAAAGCCAGAGAGCATAGAGGCAAGGGGTGTCAGATGAACATGAGGAGGACAGTATGGGGAGGTCTGCTAGGAGAACAGTTTTTGTAGCTCATGCAAGGTTAATTCAGTAGGCCTAAATGGTAGTAAAGGATTCTAAAGGCAATCAAATTTCTCTTATTCTTAGGAAGAAAGAAATATAATTCCCTAAGTGTTAGGCCACTGGGCTTTCTCTTCTGTGAAATATCTGAGCTGTCACTATATGGCTGCTCAACATACATCCCTCATCAGCTGTAATCAGAAGCATTACACACAGGATCCTCAAGACAAGACAAGGACAAAACAGATGTAAACAAACAACATGCACTTAGGATATTTAATTCATATACAAGTCAAAAATTCAATATCACCTATCACAGCACATCTGCTTAGGATCTGTGTCACAAACCAGACCTTGAACATCAGTCTACATGAATACAGGTGGCAGAAATGGGCAGCTAAATGTATCTTGCTGGTCCCAGAGGGAAGCGGGAGTGAAGAAATCCCAGAACACCCTATACTAACCTAAACAAGATACAAACCTTCCAAAATTCCTTCCTTTATGCACTGACATCACCAAAACCAACCCACCCTGCAAAAGACAAAATTCTGACCTGAAAGTTCTCGAAGCCAAAGATATCCAGGATGCCCACAGACTTAAAGTTTTCCTTGCCTTTGATCTTCGTATTAATCTTGCTAATGAGCCATGAAAAACACTGGGAATACAGCGCCATAGAGAGGGAGTCCCTGGAGTCAGCTGCCTGTAAATGCAGAGAGAAAAAATGAGGCACAGAGAGAAGGCATAAAGTGCACGATGAATCTCTATGGGACTTCAGGTTCCTCCACTCCTCTTTAGATGTCTCAGCCTCTGCACTGGTTGTGCATAGTGCAGTATTTACACGTACAGTCAACATTCAGGTTTGCAAATAGCCCAGTCACACACAGATGTACCATGTATGACCTTTGGGTAACTGAACTTGAGAGGCTGAAGGAAGTAGCAAAATCACTGACATCTTTTGGAACAAGTGCTGGGGCAAGGAAGGTGGCAAAATACCTCATGACTAAGTCCACAGCAGTCATTTGCATCACCTGAGCCAACATTTGCAGTGACAGGCAAGGTATCTTGGTTTGGTAGTCCTAGTAGAGCTGTCAAATGAGTTCAGTTTTTCAAAAACTGAACTAAGGGCAGGATTTAATAGACCATTCTGTCACCAAGTTAGCCTCAAAAATCCCCTCTCCAAAACTTTGCTGCAAACAGCATTGTCTTACTGAAAGCCAGAGTAGGCCAGCCAACAGCCAGGACGCATACCCCAGAAGAGTATGGGTTGAGAGACCTTTCTGGAGCTGACCGAACATCCCATGCAGTGATCATAACCAAGTGTCAGAGGTGGAAAAAAAAACTTAAATTGTGATCACTAACAGGCAGTAGATAATTGGGTACATGTAAGTTTGTGGACAAATGTCTGAAATTGAACTTTTGAAATCTCAAGCAAAAGCTTGCTACTCGATAGCTGTAACAGGAACAGGCTGGTTGTAAGTTTTGGTAACACTTGGACTAAACAAAAGTGGCATGCCCCAAATCCTCCAATTAATGGAGACATGAGACACAACCAGAAATTAAGAGGCTGATCGCATGCTGTCCTTCTGCATATACGCTATTTAGACTGGGAAACCAGGGCTTAGGGTTCTGGAAAGAAGAGAAGGCCAAAAATAAGGGTTCCCATAAAGATTACATGATCCCAGAGAGTACAAAAGGGGCCAGGAAAGAAGGCAGCAAAGATCTTGACTGGAAGAAAGATGCTGGAAGTGGGGAAAGATCCTGGAGATCAGAGACATGTGGAGACAAATGTCAGGGTATGCCCAAGGACCTTTGCTGGTAGTTCCTGAGACTGGTAACTGCAAGGAGCTACATGACATGAACCACCAAAACTTTCTGCCTGACCCTCCCGGACAAACAGCAATCTCCCTACTGGGAAAAGAAGTTGACATCTAATGAACGTAATGCTGAGGGGGGTGAGCGAGGGAGTATGTGAAATAATCAAGTAGGGTAAAAACTATGATCTTGTAATTTCATAAATAAACCACAGTATCTAGATCAATTACAGGTTGTTTACTCTGTCTCGCATGTGACACCAGGGTAATTCCTTCAATAGGCCTGACCAGCAATGACAGAGATCTTCTAAATGCACCCTCATCCTCTTCAGTTTTGCAAGCCTGAATAACATGACCTCTCCTGTTCTGCTTTGCTAATGGCACAGGCCTCTGATCCTCCAAGTCCCTCTCAGCAAGCTCCTGAGGCCCAGCCTGCAAGATCCTCCTTTTCACCCAATCTCACTGTTTTTCTCCTCCTTTCTCTTCCTGGGTAGTATCTCGTCTCCAGCAGCCCAAGGCCTAGGACACACAGCAATCTCCCTTCTCCACAGAAGAGAACATTTCAAAGCATGGGCACACTGGCCTTTTCTGGGTATTTCTTCTCTCCACCAGATGGTCTGTCTTATTAGTTGGGACTGAGAATGCCCTCAAGGCCATGCATCCATAGTGTCTCTGGCTACACAGTAAGGTGGACTCATTTTCCAGGAATAGGATCTCCCCGTCCAGCTGTAAAGAAAGCTGCTTTCCCCACAATATGGCTCAAATGAGATTCTCAAAGGCTCCTTTCATCCTCCCAGCTTTGCCCGCCTTCAGGCCAGTTCATCCATTCAGCCCACTGAAATGTCAAAGCTCAGACAGGCAACGAGCCCGTTACACAATGAGAAATCCCTGGCAGCTCTATCAATGCGTTCCTGCAACAACAAGTGGGAATAGGTGGGCACAGTACGTGAGGGCTTAAGCAGGGAACAGTCTTTACAGGCCCAGTGTTGAGTGCAACAGGTTCACCTAAGTGAAGACAGCTAAGTAGTAGCATCCACTTGCTACAACAATTTTTTTGCAGTCTTAGTACTTCACTGAGCTGCAAGCAGTAAAGTGTAGGGTCCAACATGCACAAATGTCAGGAATAGCTATACTATCAGGGAAAGCTCTGTTCAGGGAGACTCTTGTAAATCCTACCACTGCACACTGTTGCTCTGGACTGCATGGAGTGTCTCTGGCATTGTTATCCATCCTTGTGCACTGATATAGAAAGATGTGGCTTATTCAGGACAGACAGCCGAGAAGAGGAACTGTGGTACTGGATACTGATGATATCTACTACAGACTATAGGCTGCAAAATAATTGTGACACAATTTTATTGCAAAGAAAGGTCACAGACTATGAAAAAAGATACCATTTCTTAAAGGGAAAGCTAAGTTTCTGATATATTAGCAGGTGTGTTCGCAGCAAGAAAAGAAGCAACTACTCTGCTGAAACGAGCACTGCTGAGACTTCAGCTTGAATACAGAGTCCAGTTATAGCCACTACACTTCTTGAAAGACATGGGAAAACAGAGACAGAAGAAGAGGAGGTTTAGAAAATTACTTATAAGGAAACATTAAAGGAACTGGATTGTTTAGCTTAGAAAAGAGAACACCACATGAAAAACTTCACAGAAGCAGAAGCTTGTAAGGTGGACAGCTGGGATGTCAAAGGTAATCTAAATATGAGGAAAATCTTTTCAGCTCCAGAATCTGCTGCAGCTAGAGCAGGATACTTAAAGAGGCTGTGAAATTCCTTCCATGGGAAATCTGAAGGAAAGTTAGACAGACATCCATCAGAGAGAGCCTAGTAACTCTGGTTTCTCTGCCAATGTATGGGTTGGATCGATAACCCTCTGCAGTCCCTCCCAGCACAAGATTTCCATTACAGATGTTCCTTTTGTTATAACACAATGCTTATTCCATCTTATAGAATCATAGAATCAGTTAGGCTGGAAAAGACCTTTAAGATCATCCAGTCCAACCATTAACCTAACATTACCAAGTCCACACTAAACCAATTAAGGGTAGACTAGACTAAACCATGTCCCAAAGTGCCACGTCTACCCGTTTTTTGAACGCTTCCAGGGATGTTGATCCCCCCGCCTCTCTGGGCAGCCTGTTCCAATGCTTGACTACCCTTTCTGTGAAGAAATTTTTCCTAATATCCAATCTAAACCTCCCCTGGCGCAGCTTGAGCCCATTTCCTCTCGTCCTATCGCTAACTACTTGGGAGAAGAGCCCAACACCCGCCTCGCTACAACGTCCTTTCAGGTAGTTGTAGTATATCATTAGTAATATCATTCCTTGTTTCCCAGTGTCGTGCATTTTATTAATGACAGAAGATTTTCTACAGTTATCTGTGCACAGACCTAAAACACCAAGAGTGCCCTCAAGTGATCAGTAACACCACAAGTTAGTTAGTAGGCACAACACTGTAATGAACCACAGAGAAATGTAACAGATAAGCAGGACTGGCTCCATCACACAGTACAGGTTCAGAAGATAAGAACTACATATCTGGTCCTCCTTTGCTGTTGTATGGATACACAAAGAAGCTACTGTGGGGTAACAACCTACCATCTGCCAGATGTTTCATGGTAACTGTGTGCAAGCTTTTATCTTCCAGTAAATGCAGCGTAACCTGGGAGTTCTGCAAGGTTAAAAGCATGCACACGTGCAATTACCACAAAGCATCTGATGTACCTTCTGCATGACATGAGCATGATCAGTTCCTGGTGAGTGAAGGTGACTTAAAACCAGTATTGTGCATTGCCATTTGCAAGTGAACTCCCCTGTAAAGCCTAAAAAGCAGAGTCAACATTGGGACCTGAACTACCAATAAGGGCAAAATACTTGAGGACACAGCTGAGCACATAGGGGGTGTAAGAGGAAACCCTAAACTTGAATGGATGATACAAGAGGGATACAGAGGGCCTGGAAATGCAGAAGTGGCAGAAGCAGTAGCATACACTAGGACACTTACCTGCTCCACAGTGAGAGGGGAGCTGATCTCTTCCCCACGCAGAATCATGGACCTCTGTGTCAGTACTTCAGAAAGCTGGAAGGCATCTAAGCCCAGGAGGTCACTGGCAATGTTCAGCACTAATAACAAAGGAGGACACACTTTTTTCTCCTGCTTGGATCCCCATCACTCATGGGGATCCATATTCTGCAGCTCAGCAAGGAAATCCCAGGGACTCCTACAAAGCAAGTGACTAAGCCCCAGGACAAAATGCACTCCCCTTTCCTTAACTGTCTTTGGCATATCCAAAGCTGTAAGCTCACGTATCCAGTCTAAGGCAGGGTCAGCAGCCATTATGGGCCACAGTCAGACACTCATAAGTCAGCCTTTCTGCTGACAACAGGAAGAGCAAAGCACTGTGTAAAGCTCAGCACCAGCAAAATATTTATTGAATGAGAAGATATGTTTTCCTAAAGGCACAATAGTGCAGTCTGAGCGTGGGATTGCTAAACTTGGATGTCAAGAAGAGAGGCAGTTAAGACCTGAAGCACTTGTAATATATATTTATTGCTTCTGTCTGTTTAGGGATTCACTTTACCAGACCAGCTCAGATTGGATATCTGTAACAGAGTGCACACTAGCAGATGCTTCAAAGGCAGATGTGGGAAAGTCTGTAACAGACTACTTTTATCCCAGACTCCTCACTGTTCCTATTTCTTCCTGCTCCTTCAACACAAAGGAGAAGCTGTTAGACTGTGGACTCAGTCTGAGAGTATCCAGGAGAACAAATGGATCACAGGGCCACAGCCCAAATAAATCATACTGGTGCTCTAGAGCCATGCATTCTGTGGCAATGCTTTTTTGCAGGATTAAACTGCAGGGAATCTGCTGGCAAAGGCACTGCAGACCAGCACAGCAGAGGGAGAAAGGATGATGGAGTGAGCTTTGTTGGAGGCCTTATGGGGCTTTGTGTGGTCTACCAAGTTGCTAGGGTCCCACTTACCCGCTTTTGTTGTAACCTGGGCCCCGCCAGCTGTCATGAATTCAACATTTCCCAGATGAAGTGTGCCAGAAAGAAGTTTGAAGATGTCTCTGATTTCCTCAGTGCTGAAGTCCACCACCTTCATGGCAGTCTATGCAAAACCATACAGCTAATGTTGGCTGTATGTACAGCCACAGTACAATGCAACCACTGCACTCATGCCCAGCCCATATAACATATAAGACTCAGAATTATAGCCGTAATGAATCAAAGTGAAACTGGGATGGCACAGCCCCTCTCTCAGCTATACATCTGTCAATGATCTTCATTGTCTCCCATTCTCTCCTTCATTTACCCTATCCCCATCTAAGGCAGGTGGGCATTTACCCTATCCTCAAGTTGGACTTTGAAGAACATGTTTGTGTCTGTGTGAGGAAATCCTTCCCTGAACACTGGCAGTACAGGTTACAGATATCACTGGACTGCTTCCACATTCTGCATTATTGTCTTCCTGAAGGACAGATCCATATAATTTACTTAATTTACTCTGATCCATATAACCCCCTTAATTTAGTCTATCTTAGAGAAGTAAAGATTTATACAGCAATATTTAAATCCAGGCTATCAGCATTAACTGCTAGAAGGTTAGAAACAGGTTGCCAGATGATGAGGAAGTATGGCACATTCCCTCTGTCTTAGTGCATGCATGTGAGCCAGGGTTCTTGGGGCATAAATTGATTTTGAGAGGTAGGACCTAGTTTTCATGCATTTGCCCTGTCAGTGGGCCACTCCAGGGTTCTAGTTCCCTTCTTTCCTCCAGGCTTCTCCTCAGCTGAAATATAAATGCCATGTTGCCATTGAAACCTCTGCTGTACAGGAGACATTTCCTTCCCTTAAATCACACCTAAGCAGGAGCTACTGAAATCGTAAGCTGACTCCTCTCACCTTGCCTATCTGGTTTCACCTACATTATTAAAGCCCTCAGGCTGATAACCGCTTATCAAACAACACATGAATTGCATATTCATCCTGCTAAACCCATAACCTCTGGTAAAGTTACAGATGTCTATTGAAATATGTGTGGTATTTCAGAATGTGCCATTTGCACAGGTGATAAAAGTTTACCAGAACATTTCTGGAGAACTACCCTCAGACCAAACTATTCCCCTTCTAATGGTTAGTGTGAGGTTTCCTGCATCAGGCCATTTAGAGGGCTCCCAGAAACCACTGTGGGGTGGGGGGTGAGGTTCATGCTCCCCAAAGTCTCCGTCATTCTCAATTATTATTCATCCTTGACTGTTTCCCATATTCCCCAATTTCTGTACACTAAAAACACTCTTCAAGCCTTGTTTTTACCATAAACAGGTAGAACTGAGTTTCAGACTCATTAAACACCAAATTTTGGCTTAGGGCAAATAAATTCTGCCTGTGAGATCTAAACCCTGCAGCACGTTTAGCCCACAAGATTGTGCCCAAAAGTTCAGGAGTTAGGACAGGACTCACCATAACCTTACTGAACATCTCTATGTCATTCAGGTTCTCATCAGTCACACAACCAGATTGGTTCAAGTAGCGGTAAGTCTCTGGCTCAGAGAGGGAGAGGCTCTCTGCAACAGAGGAAAAAGAGGCAGGGAAGAGAAAGACAACAATTTATTTACCAATTAGCCTTTTAATTCTTAGTCCCCTCAAACAGTGTGTATGTTTACTATAGGGACAGTTCATCTGAACAGATTCCATATCCCTCAAAAGCCACACCTAGACAGTGAATGCACTGGGGAAGGGGAGGGTGTGTGGTAACAAAGCTTGCAGATGGTATGCAAAATGATTTAGAACAGTCAAATCCCAAGCTGCAGAGTTGCAGAAGAATATTTCAATACTGAACAGACTTGGGGGGGGGGGGGGGGCTAGACTGAGGTGGGGGGGGGGGGGGGGGGGGGGACGACGGGACACCACACAAACAAAAACCCAGAGGATGAAATTCAATCTCATAAAGTGTACAGAAAAATAGTCTTAAGTATATACAAAGAGTAATGACCTCTAAATTAGGTATCACCACTTGAGACAGAGTTCAGAGAGTCACAGTAAGATTTCTGAAGACATCATCTCAGTGCTGAGCAGCAGTCAAAAACTGAACACAGTTCAGTTCCTTCAGTTTTAGAAGGAACACAGAACTAAGCATAAAAACAGAATTAAGCCTTTGTACATATCTGTGGCACAACCATATATTAAATACTATCTGCAGGTTTGATCCCCCGTTTCAAAAAGGACGGAGGAGAACTAAAAGATCTATGGAGGAAGGAGACAGGATGATCAAGCGACACACACATTACAGATGGGGGAAGTGAGGCAGCCTGGGACACCAGCTTGGAAAGGGAGATGGGGAAGAATAGCAGAGATCTGCTGAAGACAGTAATCTGTTTTGTATGCTTTCCCTAAGTACTTGCTGATAACCACGGTCCCCACTATTTCTCTCTGCTTTAGATGGATCTCTGAATTGACCCACGTGGCCATCCCTGCACAAACTCCCTAGAACTGAAGCCCTACTTCCTTCCGCTCTGTGTCAGGCCCCAATTCTTCCATCTGATCATTCTAACATACACCGAACAAAGGCATAAAGAAATCCTCCAGTCCCTCAAAACCAGAGTGCAACTGTAACATGTTCCTGCCCACCTATCTGACCTCTTCAGCAAGCCCATCAGTGCTCAGCAGTGCCCAGGGCAGGTACACACAAACGTTGCTGAGGGGGTGCTGCACTACAAAGAGGATTCTTCCACAGCCTGCAGCTGCCACTTTCTCTGCATGCCCTCTTCCAGACCCACCTCTCCCTTCCCCATGTACAGAGCTTTAAACCCTTTGTTCAGCCAGTAGACATGTTTTGACTCTAGTCCTGCCACTACATCTCTGGTGTTTCTAATTCTTATCTCTCCTATTACCTACACTGAGGGTAAGTCTGTCAGTCCAACCTTTGAACTCCCTGAACAGCTCCCGTCAGCATCTGAATCAAGACTCTTTACCCCTCCTTTGCCTCTAGCCAGTTTCATTACCTCATCTCTCTATACACCCTCTTCACTTTGCACAGACTTTTCCTTCCAGCTCAGAATGCCTGAAGTGTCTTTTCTCATATAGCATTTCTGTCATCCTCAGCCTCCTTCTCTCAACTCCCCTTTCTGTTTCCCATGAAATCACCATATGGCCTTCAAGAAAAAGTTATATATCAAGTACCTGAAATATCCATGCTCTAGTTGACTTACACCTGCTTCACATGCTGGACTGGAAACAGGACAGAGACATATCCCAGAAAATGAAATTACCTTTCAGCTCCCCATTCACACCAGCTAGCAGAGCATAAAAGATGTGGTAATTCCTCTCTCCAGGGTTCTGGTGTACTACTCTGTTCTGAAACAAAGAATACAGGAATAGCCAGGAGAAAGAGATTGCACTTTTGGTTGCAAAGACAAAAGAGAAGACCAGGATACAGGTAAATCTCCAGGGCCAATGCACAAGAGGGGCTTCTTCCAGTTTAGTGATGGTGTTGTCTAAGCTCTACATCAAGATGTTGTCATGTGCGGCCGTGCAACTGAGCACGCACAGACTTCTCTGAACTTACTTAGAGTACGCACACGGACAAACTGAACCTTGTCAGTTCTGGCTCTGCTCCTCAGTGAGCTCCTGAGTCCGAATAAACTACATCAGAGCAGAGATATCTGCATTTGGAGTTGTACCCCCATATTCTTCTCTATGGAATTGCTTTCAGGTACTTGTTCTCTCTCCCTTTCCCCTTGGTGAACAGCTTTTTCTTGGAGTCTCTCTGTAGTGCACAGCATTTATCAAAGGCAGGAGAACAGGCTCTGATAGATATAGAACAAACATTGTTCCTCCACCATCCTCTTCCTCAGTTGGGACAGTTGCAGTAGTAACACCTAAAGAGCTAATGTCTATGTGCTGTGATGGAGGCAGCATCATCCAGTAGGAGAACTGGCACTGTCCCACCGTACTATGACGAGAGGGCTCACCAGCAGTCAGTAGAGGTGATACCTACCTTTTCCAGTAAATCTGAACGGCATGTTAAGGAGAAAACATTCAAATGACATATGCACAGATGTCCTGATGACTGGCAAAGAATCTTCTAGACACATTGGGATGAACCATGTAACAAGCCACAAATCATTAAATAACTGACGCTTTGGGAAGTGGACAAAGAATGGTCCCAAACATCATCTCGGATCCTCCTCTCTATTCCTTGTCCAAGGAGGTATTGTGTACCAAAGAGATATTTAAAAGGGCAGAGTCAGATAGAGCATAGGACCTGCACAATGGTGAGGTAACCTAACAAAGGATGAGCCACATTAGGGACACCTAGAAAGATTAGAGAGGCCACTCTAATCTGGAAGTCTGTATTGCACAAAGCAAGTCTTGCATCAGTTCTCATTGCTTCTGCAAGAGACCACTATCTTTAATCTACCGACAGCACAAAGAGCAGAGACTAAACAATCTAAGCCTGTTATTTACAACAGTGGTAAATTAATCTGGCTGCTACTCCAGTGGAAATTGGTGTGGTTTGCAGTCATCAGCAGATTTGAACATCAACATCAAGAAATGTAGCCAGGGCAGCTTTAGCTGCCTCATGTAAACAAAAGGTATGTCAAAGCCTTTGGGAGAGGGGTACATGGGCATACAGGGAAGAAAGTGGTCATGGCACAACATAATTCGACTATATGCAGTCTTCCCTGTCCTTGTCACTGGAACAGGCTCCCCAGGGAAGCATTCACAGCACAAAGCCTGTTAGAGTTCAAGGAGTGTCTGGATGATACTCTTAGCCACGTGATTTAGTTTTAGGTAGTCCTGCAAGGAGCAGGGAGTTGGACTCGCTGATCCTTATGGTTCCCTTCCAGCTTGAGATATTCTATGATTAGGGTTCCAAGGTCCACTGGAGATGGGCAGCCCAAAACAGGGAGTCATAATTGGCCCTCTAAATTCCTGTTCTCCTCTGCATCCAAATATTGTGCAGAATATATTGATTCTTAGCTTGGTCTCACTTTTCTAAATCATTAATTCATTGGCAGAGCTAACATAAGGGAACAATCTTCTGGGAAAAACAGGATGCAATCAACACGAGGGATCTTCCTAGGTAGCAAATTCTAGGGATTTAAGTATCAAGTGTTGTGATTGCCAAAAAGAAAAGTCAAACTATGTCTCTACCTAATGTAGTACTTGGACAAAAGGTTTCCAGAGTTAGGTGCTGCAGAGCCACAAAGCAAACACTTCTTCCCTCTTTAGTTGCACATTTGCCCACAGTTATAAACTGGCTTAGAGAAACTGTGATGAGGGATTTCCTGACCCACTCTGAGCTCCTCCTCGTCTTCACTCCATCCATTTCTGGTCCACTGAAGCAAAGGATACAATCAGTTACTCGGCCTCCCTGGATGTGTCCATGTTGAGAGAAGTGCAGCTGGATGAACTTGCCAAAGCGGCTGGAGTTGTTGTTATAAACTGTCTTGGCATTTCCAAAGGCCTCCAGAATGGGGCTGCAGAAAGAAGGCAATGAAGATATGATTGCTGATGGGATACCATTAAAACAAAGCATGTGCCCAGCCTTTTGCCATTTGCACAGCATGCACTGCTATATGAGATTTATTTGTTACAGCACCAGACTGGACAAGCAGGAAGAACTCAAGGGCAAGGAAGGATGGCAAGAGCAATTTAACACACAGCTAGATAAATTTTAAACCTTTGGGACTGAAGTTAATTAAAGCAGTCCCCAATCAGTATGGGCAGCTGGCGTTCACACTGTTGAGGGCATTCCCTACCAATGTAGCTTCAGGAAATGGAAGGTGGCAAGACCCAGCCAGGTTGTATGCTTAACACAGCAGCATCCCATGAAATGGGTTTGTATTTTTTTCAGGATTTTCAGAAGCATCAGACATATAGGGCAAACACTCTGTAGCTTTAAACCAAATACTTCTTTGTTTCTGTTTCCACCTTTGAAAGAGCAGACAGTATAAGCCATCTCTTACAATTACAGGCAAACATTTTCAAACTAACAGAACAAACATAGTACCAAACTGATTTGTTTGGTACTGAAATTTGATACAGAAACATAAAGCCCCTTGTTGTTACTTAAATCTTGCTTAGGTTGAAACAAGCCATGTGGTTTCCAAGCAGAGGGAATATACACACATTATAGATTTGAAAACTTCATTCTAAGAGAGACACATCTTCCACTTCAGGAAAAATAACAGTTGCCCAAAAAAAAAAAAAAAAAAAAACCAAAAAAAAAAAAAAATCTATCACCAAACTTCAGACAGGTGATGAATTGAAGACTTTTGTCTCCCAGTGTCGTGGTTTAACCCCAGATGGCAACTAAGCACCACACAGCTGCTTGCTCACTCCCCCCGCAGCAAGATGGGGGAGAGAATCAGAAAAGTGAGAAAACTGGTGGGTTGAGATAAAGACAGTTTAATAAGTAAAGTCAAAGCTGCACACACAAGCAAAGCAAAACAAGGAATTCATTCACTACTTCCCATCAGCAGGCAGGTGTTCAACCATCTCCAGGAAAGCAGGGCTCCATCACACGTAACGGTTACTTGGGAAGACAAAATGCCATCACCCCAAATGTCCCCCTCTTCCTTCTTCTTCCCCCAGCTTTATATGCTGAGCATGACGTCATACGCTATGGAATATCCCTTTGGTCAGCTGGGGTCAGCTGTCCCAGCTGTATCCCCTCCCAACTTCTTGTGCACCCCAGCCTGCTCACTGGCGGGGTGGTGTGAGTAGCAGAAAAGGCCTTGACTCTGCGTAAGCACTGCTCAGCAATAATGAAAACATCCCTGTATTATCAACACTGTTTTCAGCACAAATCCCAGACATAGCCCCATACTAGCTACTATGAAGAAAATTAACTCTACCCCAGACAAAACCAGCACACCTGGTCACCTTCCTGTCTTCAGGAGGTTCATACAACATGGAAAATAGTGAGTTAAAATGCAGCTTGGTTCTTGCTGCATAGAACAGTACAAGGGAAAAGCCTAAACCATTCAAAATGACATGCTAAATCCAGGATTAAAATATTCATTTTTGCAATTTAGCTAATTCTAAAATAATCTGAAGGCCTGACAAGCAAGGAGTCACAGGAATGCTACAAGAACAGCCTGTAGGCAATCATGTTTAATTCTAAAACATACATAGTTTTTAACGGAAGTTATTGCAGTTATTACCCTCAGAAATACTAGCTTTTTAAACATCTCCATCGATCTACTGTGCAGTTCCACTTGAGACAGGGGCAGATACAGGATTATTCACAAGTTAATAACTATAACATGACAAATAGAATAGAATCATAGAATCATAGAATGCTTTGGGCTGGAAGGGACCTTTAGAGGTCATCCAGCCCAACCCCCCTGCAGTCAGCAGGGACAGCTTTAACCAGATCAGGTTGCTCAGAGCCCCGTCCAACCTGACCTTGAATGTTGCCAGGGATGGGGCCTCCACTACCTCTCTGGGCAACCTGTTCCAGTGCTTCACCACCCTCACTGTAAAAAATTTCTTTCTTATGTCTAGTCTAAATCTATTTTTCTTTAGCTTAAATCCATTATTCCTTGTTCTGTCACAACAGGCCTTGCTAAAAGGATTCTCCCCATCCTTCCTGTAGACCCCCTCTAAGTGCTGGAAGGTTGCAATAAGGTCTCCTCGCAGCCTTCTCTTCTCCAGGCTGAACAACCCCAACTCTCTCAGCCTGGCCTCATAGGAGAGGTGCTCCAGCCCTCGGATCACTTTGGTGGCCCTCTTCTGGACCCACTCCAGCAGGTCCATGTCCTTCTTGTGCTGAGGGCCCCAGAGCTGGACGCAGTACTCCAGGTGAGGTCTCACCAGAGCAGAGTAGAGGGGCAGAATCACCTCCCTTGACCTGTTGGCCACGCTTCTTTTGATGCAGCCCAGGATACGGTTGGCTTTCTGGGCTGCCAGTGCACATTGCCGGCTCATGTCCCACTTTTCATCCACCAGTACCCCCAAGTCCTTCTCTGCAGGGCTGCTCTCAATCTCTTCATCCCCCAGCCTGTATAGATATCGGGGGTTGCCCCGTCCCAGGTGCAGGACCTTGCATTTGGCCTTGTTGAACCTCATGCGGTTCACAGAGGCCCACCTCTCTAGCTTGTCCAGGTCCCTTTGGATAACATCTCGTCCTCACAGCTAGAGACATCGCTGGAGTTTGCTGAAAGTGTCAGGCCTTGCAAGTGTTAGCTAAGTGAGAACTGTGGTTGTGGGAAAGGGTCAACAACATTCAGGAAACTTCAGGCAGTATTTACCTAATTTATCTCTTGAAAATATCACTTTAAAGAAACAGAAGCAGAGAAATGAAATTGCTCTGTTGTAATACATTACAACCATAGAAAACCAAGTCACAGAAATCTGTGTGCACAGATCAGGATGCGAGTTCCTTGCCCTGGAGAATTTGAACTCCAAGACCCATGCCTCTGAAACAAGTATGTAAATAAGGACATGGCACAGGAATATCCTACTAAGCACACACCAACACCATGAATCAACAAAAATTAATGAGGACAACCAGAAAAAGGGAGGACAGGGTTATGTTATATGACCACCACAGTTGCAGTGAGAGTGCAGTAACCAGCCAGCCAATCTTTATGGCTCTAAATCATGTTAAATTACACAAGCAAAGCACAAGGAAGTATCTTCATAGTTTAGTATGGCAATGGACTCACGCACATGAGTGTGGAAGCCTTTCAGGTATGAGGGAGGAAATAGGCACGTGGGTGTCTGAGGCTGGCGGCCACTGCAAGGCAGAGGGGTGGGTGAGCCGGTAGAGCCAGGAGCAAGGGCAGGCGCCTGGGCCAAGCAAACTGCCCGCACCAGCAGGCACATCGCAACATGGCGTTTGATGCAGCAGTGAACTCTGCGAGGCGGAGCGGCGCATCAGGAAGGTGATGCTGGCTGCTCAGCTGGATGTAGGCAGGGTGTGTTGCAGGACTCAAAACGATGGGAACCAGTTTCAACAGGGCAGCAGAAAGTGAAGCCTGGATTTTAGAAATCATAGAATCATTTAGGTTGGAAAAGACCTTTAAGATCATCCAGTCGAACCATTAACCTAACATTACCAAGTCCACCACTAAACCAATTAAGGGTAGAGTAGCAATTTCGTGTTTCCTGGCTTGGTGGCTGGATTATTTATAATGAAAGTAAAAACTAGGAATCATTAAGATTGGAAAGGATCTCTAAGATCATCAGTCCAACCATCAACCCAACACCACCATGCCTACTAAACCATGTCCCAAAGTGCCACATCTACCCATTTTTTGAACGCTTCCAGGCATGGTGACTCCACCACCTCTCTGGGCAGCCTGTTCCAATGCTTGAATACCCTTTCCATGAAGAAATTTTTCCTAATATCCAATCTAAATCTCCCCTGGCACAGCTTGAGCCCATTTCCTCTCATCCTATCGCTAACTACTTGGGAGAAGAGCCCAACACCCACCTTGCTACAGCCTCCTTTCAGGTAGTTGTAGAGCGATAAGGTCTCCCCTCAGCCTCCTGTTCTCTAGGCTAAACAACCCCAGTTCCCTCAGCTGCTCCTCGTAAGACCTTTATTTATATATTGCAACATACGCAGCTCCAGGATTCAGACACATAGCTGAAGACAAAAAAGACGATTCGAAGATTAGAGGGATGAAAAACAGGAGAGGGGGCTATGCTGTCAGCAGTGTCACCCAACATGGAGAAGAGAGCTTCCGAGTGAAGCAAGCAAGAAAAAAAGCTGAGAGGAAAGTTAACAGAATTTTTAATGGACTGATGGACATTTTCAAGAAGGAAAACAGACCAAATCAACAGTGCCAAGGGAGTTTTCAGAGCCTGATTTCTGAGAAATACACCAAGCATGAATGTTACAACACACAAGCAAATGATAGAAAGCTGATGTAACACTTTGTTTATAATGCTGTCTGAAATGGAGAAAGAATCAAGCATTGTTCCTGCGTATGTGCTGGGGTGCAAGGATGAAAATCTGCCATAAGCTAACCCAAGGAGGGCCACTGGCAGAGCAAGTGAAGCTGAACTGCAAACATATGAGGTAGACTCGTTAGGAGCAGCAGCAGCTTCTGGGTCTGGGCCAGGCCTTCAGCTTCTCTTTTTTCAGGAAAAAGATGACAAATCAAATTCTTTTGCTCTCATATCGCAATAGCTCACGTAGCACTAGAGATGTACACAAAACAAGTCACGAGCTCTTACTCCACCTCACAGCTGTAGGATCTTGCAGACTCAGGAATCACCTACCTACCATCATAAGCTTTCTGGATCACAGTCAAGTTACCACTTAACCACTAAGAGGGCTTGAGCCTTCTAAGCCGCTTGCCTTAAAGCAAGATCTTGAGTCGTGACTGTATTGCACTTAAGAGCTTTTTCCAACTTGCCAACGTCCCTGGTAAAATCTGCACACCTGCAAAGGATAAATCATCCAACAACGGTCTCTTGAACACGAGGCCCAAAGGCAGCAACCTTTCTGCTCAACACTGCTCTGCTTATACGGATACTAAAAACCACAGTGCTCTTGCAGCTGCCACGTTAGACGCTGCATGTCTGCTTAGGCTATTTTCACCACAGTTACTAGTAAATTTTTTGCACCACCATCTTCCAGGAAACATTCCTTCTCTCTACTCTCAGAACTATGCCATTTGCATGACAGTCTCTTTTACACAGATGGTTCAAAGGATTCCAGCTTATTACACAGCTAGATCTTGTTGCAGACATCTGATTTACTCCTCTGGAGGTTTCTGCAACTATCACAGGCTCAAACTGGGACCAACCTGCAGCCTCACCCTTCACAGTACTGAACTGCAAGACCCCCAGCAAGGTCCTCCAGGCAGTCTTGTGTTGGGAAGTTTTTGTTTAATTTAATTTATTGCTAATGAAGAGAAACTTCTGATCGAGGATTCAGGTGTTAAGAAAACGGACACTTAAGTAAACATCTATCCTCCCTCCTCCCAAGGTTTACCTGACATCAAACACCTATTGCTCCCCTTTCTTATCCTCAGCTTCCATTTTTACCTCAGGTTACAGCCAGTCCCTCGCAATTCGCCCCGCAAGGCAGTGGGCAGCGCAGGAGGCTGGGGTCCCACACAGAACTGTTTCTTTCTGTTGCTCTTTGCTTCCTCATTTTCTCTGCTGCTCTTTGCCTCTTACAGGTTTTCCTCAGCTGCACTTTGCTTCTCCAAATTTTCCTGGCACCTTTTTTTCCTTGGTGTCCCTGTTCCAGCGCGAGTCACCCGTGGGCCGTGGTCCTGGGGTGTCCCTGTCCTGGGGTGGGCCATGGTCCCTCAGGGGCGTCCCTGCCCTGGCATGGGTCACAGGGGTGTCAGGACCTCCTTTGGCATAAAGGATCCCCCGCAGAGAACGTCTCCATCCCTCATAGCTGCTGGTTTCCTTCCCAAACGTGTTTCACCCAGGCGCCATGCACCTCCCTGCCTGCCTGATGCCTTTGCAAGGTTTTGGTGGGTGGTGGTTATTCCCCAGTGCCGGCTGCAGCCGAGAACAGCTCTGGCCGGCTCAGGGCCTCCTCCCACACAGGCGCTGCTTGCAGCCCCCAGGCAAACCTCTTCGCTTGTGCCCCTTATAGCTCCCATGGACGTTTCTCCTTAAAATCACCCGCCTGGACAGCAAGAGAGCTGCAAGGTGGCCCACAGAACCTCTGAGGGCAAGACATACCAGCGGCCTGAAACAAATGGAGGCCGGGGGAGAGCAGGGGCTAAAAGGAGACCGGGAGTCAGAGTGTGACGGAGACTCACCGCAAGCAGAGCCACAACTGAGAGCTGTGGGAGACAGGGACAACCTGGGACAGCCGTCCCTGCGGCAGGGAGGGA